TGCTATCAAAACCCTTCTTGCCTTCCAATATTTTCGTCCCTTTCCTTTGTTGGCTTTCCTTCATTTGTTCAGAAACACCTTTCCTCCTTTTATACTGCTTGCTGAGCATAGTTTAGGTGACACTTAACCTCTCTATGGACTACCATCATTGTGCTAACAGATTTGAATCTTAATTATAGATTTGAATTTTAGATTTGAATCTTCAGGATAAGTATAGATGGCTGTCAGATAAATATACTTGGGCCAACATTACTAAGAAATTGCTGGGCCAACATTGGATCACTAATTTTCTTTTCTTTTTATTTATTTATTTATTTTTTTCTTTTGATGCTTAATTTTATGGTGTTCCTAATGTAAATTAAATTACACTTTATCACCTATCATCATAAAATTAATTATTTTACTTTACTTCACAGATTATTATTATTATTATTATTATAAATAATCGTGGTATTAATTAAATATTTAAGGTGTCACATTTCTCTCATCCTAAATAGAAGTTTGTCCCCAAACTTGACGTACCTTGGTTGTCGAAGAGGTGTGGGTATATGACTCGCATTTGACTTTCCGTTTCCCATGTAGCATCTTCGATACAATGATTTCGCCATAAGACTTTTACCAGCGGTATGGTCTTGTTTCGAAGAACTTGATCACGACGATCGAGAATCTGCACTGGTTGCTCTTCATAAGAGAGGTTCTCTTGAACTTTCAAGTTCTCATAGTCGATGACATGTTCTAGATCTCGGAGGTACCGTCGGAGCATCGAAACGTGGAACACATTGTGGACATTGGACAGTTCAGGAGGTAGTGCAAGACGATATGCTACAGGACCAATCTTTTCCAGTATCTCGAATGGTCCGATGTAACGTCGGTTTAGTTTTCCTCGCTTTCTAAATTGGATAAATCCTCTTGTTGGTGAGATCTTAAGGAACACATGATCTCCTATTCGAAATTCCAAGTCCCGTCTCCGTGTATCTGCATAACTTTTCTGGCGGCTTTGGGCAGTGCGAATTCTCTACTGGATAAGTTGGATTTTATCACTTGTGATTTGCACGATCTTGGGGCCTAACAGTTTCCTGTCCCTGACTTCCATCCAGCATAAAGGTGATCGACATCTTCTTCCATATAGAGCTTCGTATGGCGCCATTCCAATGCTTGCCTGATATAGCTGTTGTTATAGGCGAATTCCACTGAAAGTACGTGCTCATCCCAGTTACCTTTGAGGGCCAACACACATACACGTAACATATCTTCCATCGTCTGGATTGTTCTTTTGGATTTCCCATCAATTTGTGGGTGATAAGCAGTGCTAAACTTCAATGTGGTTCCCAAAGCTTCTTGCAATTTGTTCCAGAAGTGAGACACGAAGCGGAGGTCTCGGTCAGACATGATTGAAACTGGGATACCATGCAAACGAATAATTTTCTTGATGTATAAAGTGGCAAACTTATTAAGGGAGTACATGATTTTGATTGGCAGAAAATGCACCGACTTTGTCAATCGGTCTACTATAACCCATATTGCATCATTTTTCGAACATGACTGTGGTAGCCCGACCACGAAATCCATAGTGATGTGCTCCTATTTCCATTCAGAAATAGGGAGTGGTTGCAGCAGTCCTGCAGGTCTCTGATGTTCTACTTTAACATGCTGACAATGCAGGCATTTGGAGACATGGCTTGCTATGTCTCTTTTCATTCCTGTCCACCAGTAGTGTTATTTCAGATCATGGTACATCTTTGTGTTGCCAGGGTGGACTGCAAATCTCGAGCTATAAGCTTCCACCAATATCTTCTTCTTGAGCTTCGGAATGTTAGGTACGCAAATTCAATTTCGAAATTTCAATATCCCATTGCTTATAATAAAATCAGGATCAGGCGTACTCCTTTGTTTCTCGTATTTTTTCTTTAAAAGTTTATATTCCCATTGGCACGCTTTAATTTCTTCAATTAATGTAGGCTCCACGGTTATGTTGGCGAGCAGCCCATTGACAGCTTGTTCAAACCTAAATAGACTTGTAGGAACAAACGGGACCTCGATTGGATTTCAGGTTAGAAAATTACAAGAAAAAATGTAAAACACAAGACTTAAAAGACCCGTTTGGGGGCCGAAATTGCAAAATGACCACTGAAACCACCGAAATTTGGCATGGGCAGCTTGTTGAAGCCTAAATAGACTTGTATGAGCAACTTGTATGAACAAATAGCACCCGATTGGACTTCCCGTTACAAAATTAAAATCAAAATTGTAAAGTTCATATCGAGGTTTTTGTTTTTTTTTTTTGTCAATCTAATATTGTTTTTTCTTTTTTCATGTGACAGATTGACAATGGTGGAAAATAGTTTGGGCTGCATCAGAAGATTTGATTTTGTGTTTTTGGAAATATTTTGACATAGGATTTTGGTAAATGATTTATGGATTAAATGTTTAGCATCAACATATTTGGTGTTGTGTTTTTGCAAATATTTTGACATAGGATTTTAGTAAATGAATTGTTGGTTAGATGTTTAACATCAAAATATTTGGTTGTGATTTTGAAAATATTTTGACATAGGATTTGGTAATGTATTTATGGGTTTGATGTTAATAGTTTGTAAGTACTTTGGTATGCATGTTTTAGATTGTCAGAGAATTGTAATTATGTTTATTGGGATTTTTCATAGCTATTAATTTTGAATTGTTATGAATGTCTTGCACAGGTGTATTATTATTTACATTACATTTGTGTATATATTGTGCACAGGAAAACAGGTGTTTTGGATTATTTTGAACAGGAAAATTATTGAAATCAAAATTTGTGTAGTGAATTTTTAGTGACAGGTGGTATTTTGGTCGCTGTTAATGTATTTAGCAACAACATATTGTTTTTGTCGCTAAAAGTTAGTGGTTATTCCAAGAACTTTTAGCAACCAAAACTTACTCGTTGCTAAAAACGTGATTTTTAACGACCAAATTAATTTTGTCGTGAAATAGTACTTTTGGCGACACATTTATTTGTCGCTAAAACTACATAGCCTATCTAAATTTTAACCTTTTAGCGACAAACTGTAATATTTATAGCGACAAAATATATGATTTTTGGCGACAAATTTTGCTTGTCGCTAAATGTCTACATACGGTGATAGTTTTTGATTTCGTCGCCAATACTTTTAGTGACAGGCCTTTGGCGACCAATTGTATACTTGTCGCCGATTCTTTTGGTGACAAAATTTGTACTTTTGGAGACCAATTTTTGGGTCGCCAAATGTGTTTTTTGTTGTAGTGAACGCTCCTGTTTGTCAGTCCATTCAAAGGGTGTGTTCTTCTGAGTTAGCTGGGTCAAGGGTGATGCTATCTTTGAGAAATCTTGCACGAAGCGTTGATAATAGCCAGCTAGACCCAAGAAACTTTGAATTTCTAACACATTAGTAGGTTGTGGCCAATCTACAATTGTTGTAACTTTTTGGGGGTCAACTGAGATGTCATCTTTGTTAATGACGTGACCGAGGAAGTGTACACTAGTGATCCAAAATTCACATTTCTTTAAGTTGGCATAAAGTTTGTGATCACGTAGTGTTTGTAGAACCGTTCGCAAGTGCTGCTAATGGTCTTCCGGTGACTTGGAGTATATGAGGATGTCGTCAATAAAGACAATGATGAACTCATGAAGATACGGTTTGAACACTTGATTCATGAGGTCCACGAAGGCTGCTGGAGTTTTTGCGATGCCAAAAGACATGACAAGAAACTCATAATGCCCGTAATGGATTCTGAAGGTAGGCTTTTTGATACTTTCCGTTTTGACTTTTAGTTGGTAATAGCCCAATCGCAAGTCGATTTTTTTGAGAATACTTGGGCACCTTGAAGTTGATTGAATAAGTCATCGATTTGTGGCAGAGGGTACCGATTCTTGATGGTGACCTTGTTCAGCTCCCAGTAATCGATGCATAACCTCATTGTGCCATCTTTTTTTGTTTACGAACAGTACTGGAGCTCCCCAGGGTGAGGTACTAGATCGAATGAAACCTTTGTCTGAGAGTTCATAGAGTTGAGTCTTCAGTTTTTTCAATTCCATCATTGACATGCGCTAAGGGGCTTTTGATATTGGTTGGGTACCAGGTTGAGTTTTAATAGTAAATTCGATTTCTTGGTCAACCAGGGTACTAGGTAGATCTTCAAGAAAAACATCCAGGAATTCTCGTACTACGGGGATCGTATCAACAGTGGGAGCCTCTTTTTTTGTATTGATCACATAACAAATATAACTACCACAACCCTTTCTTAGAAGTTGTTAGGCTATCATGGAGGATATAATACAGGGAGGGTGAGAAACTCCAATTCCATCAAAGACAAGCTCGGGTTGGTTTGGTAACCTGAGGGAGACTTTTTTGGCTTTACAATCAATAGAGGCGTGGTTGGCAGCTAGCCAATCCATACCTAAGATCACATCAAAGTTTCCAATGTGGAGGGGAATCAGGTCTACGTATAAGGTTTTGCCTTTTAGGGATATAGCACAAGATTTGTATACATCAGCACTAAGGGCGGAATTACCAGAAAGAAAAGACAGACAATATATATCGTAAGGGTTCCGGTATTGATGCCAGCTTAGCAGCAAAGTGTGATGCAATAAAAGAATGAGTTGACCCAGAGTCAATGAGGATATGAGCTAAATGACTACAGATAGAAAGTGTACCTAACACAACGTTTAGTGTACTTGACTCATAATTACATGATATATTACGTGCAAAATTTTAATTTGTCAGAAAGTCAAGTCTCAATTCCCTCGTGACATTATTGTAGATGAATTAGGGATTTAATTTGTGAATCTCTAATATTTCTAAATAAAAAAATTTATATTTTTAGATTTCTTTTCGTTCCCTTTATTTTTATTTTTTATTTTTATTATTTTCGTGTTCCTGAAAATATAACAATGACGGTTTATAAATCATCTTTTGTTCCTTTTTTCCTTTCCCAAAAACAGTTTAAAAATTCAAAAACAACTTTTTAATATTTTCAAAAAAATGCAGGTTTCTTTTAAATGGAAAATAAAAAATCGAAAACAGTTAAAAAAAATCTTTGTATTATTAAAATAAAATAAAAATTAACATGTTATTGGTGTATTGATTTTTGGTTGTATGATGAGGATACAGGAAGATATAGTGCTTTGCAAGATTTACAGAAAAGCAACCTCTTTGAAAGTTTTGGAGGAAAGGGCAGCCATGGAAGAAAAATCAAGGACAACCCATCCGACGCCACCGTCTCCTCCATCACAGGGAAACTTTTCTAGCACCAACCCACAAGAAAGCTTTGTGGCACTCACAGTGCCCCTAGAGGAGGACATTGTTTTCAAGACAGAAGAAGAACAAGAGCACGAGAGCAAAGTTTCCTTACCTTCATTAATTGGATTTGGGTCCATGAAAGACAACTTAACAGAGCTTGAAGTGCCCAAGTTCAACATGGAGTTCATGACAGTGGATCATCCATTGTGGAGCCAATTGAGAAGCCCATGGCTAGACAATTGGAGCACCTATGCCAATGCGCTCAACTTTTGAGATGGTGTGGAAAATGTTTTACCTTTTAGGTGAAATGATATGTGAAAGTGAAATGATAGGCCCATGGCAAGTGAAAAAATATTTTTTTATAAATGTTTTATTTTTTTAGGTGTATCTAAGTTATGTATATTTAAACAGTAAAAAAATTATTTCAAATATTAAAAAAAATTTACTAAAAAAATTAATATATAAATAATAAAAAATTTAATTTTTTAGAAAATTAATCAAAACAAAAAAAGGTGATTGTTTCTCACTTTTGTGATGATTGTAAAGGAATAAGTTTGATCTTTATATAATTGTTTTAAAGAACAAGTTTAATCTAGTAGTTGTTATTAGATTAAAATTTGACACGCTGAACACAAACACTCATTCCATTATAATGGATTCTAGTGAAAAAAAACTAATCAGGATGCTATGTAATATTCATCCATCCTTAAAATCAATTAAAAATCACTTTTATAGTAAGACTATTAATCAAGATTTTTATTTGTCCAGAATCCTATATCCAAAATTATCAATAAATGGTCTAGATTTATTTCATGCATGAATGTTTACAATATTAATTCAATTTTTACCACACAATCTCAGTAACTTTCTGACATTGTTTTTCTAGATAAATAGAAATGAAAAAATTATAGATCTTATGATCAGTAGAACTAAAACTATAAGCAGTGCCTGTATAAGCAGTGCCTGTATATGCTGTTTATACATCATTCATTCGAGATGACTTTTTGGTATAAAATTAATATTATTTACATATCATTTTTTAAAAGTAAAAAATACACAAAAAAAAATAGAGTAGACAACAATGTGTGATGTGATGCAAGAACAGTCATGACAAATAATCACTTAATTGAGCGGCAGTAGATTCTTTATTTCTTAATAATATGTATTAGGTTAGATAGATCCCAATTTGGCTGATCATAGCTCCGCCAAACATTATTTCACATCAACTTATTCCAAAACGAGACTGAAGTAAAACCATAAAGGTGCCTATGCAAAAGGCCTTTGGTTATTGCAGTCAAGATTGCTACCATAGCCTACTCCAAATATGTCACTGTATCTCTTATAGAACCCAATTCGGTCCTCTTGCTGTGAAACAGAGCCTTTTCCACATTCGATTCCTCCATTGATGATGTTGGTGATGACACCATAGCCAGGGAGTCGACCGGCTGCTCTGTCAGCACTAGACGGAGTCCATTGGCCGGTGATGACACTGTGGCAAGAGGGTTTTGGTGATTGCGGCGTCATCCAGAACCACAATGCTGTCTTGAAAGATGTGGTTGGGTCAGTTGCAACTGCATCTGGGTTGTTTATCAGATCATACCCTATGGCTTTTCCTGCTTGACCATAGTTGTAGTTGCTGTCAAAGTCATAGGCCAAAGTTTTAGTATCTTGAAATGTACATTTATCTAGTGGCGACTTCAAGAATTTTTATTAGTGGTGTCAATCAAAAACTTAAATATCATATATTTTACAAAAAATTCACATTAATCATTATATCACATATGGAGAAAAAAATCAACAAATTAATTTAAATTCTAAAATTATAAACAAAAATATTTCAATATATTGATACTATTATTTAAGCAAAAAGACATGCTAATACACGAGGTTCTACAATTGACCACGACGAGATTTCATATTTTGAAATCGTTGAATAATAAGCTCATTATCAATACTATCAAATAGTGGGTTCAAAAGAGTAGGATTTAAAACTATGAGTTCAAAATTGTATTTTAGTGGGTTCAGTTCCTAAAATCTAATATTTTTATAATAATAATAATAATAAAAATTCAGCCAGGGGGTTCGGATGACACCCCTGACCAAGCCTTGGAGCCGCCCCTGCATTTATCTGTTAGATTTTGGAAAAAAGCTTGGTAGCTCAAATTGGAGGGGACTTGAATGGGCCGAATGGGTATTGGCCGGATCCCGCTCGGACGACCGGATGAAAGATTGTCTGCCGTGGTTGTCACCTTTGTTTATTGCGACTATCAGCTTCTTCGCTGGACGACTGACTGAACATCCGTCTAGACGATCGGTAAGGTAAATTTTGAGCCATTTGAGCTAAGCTCATATTCAAATTACCAAGCATTGCTCTAGATTTTGTGTTGTATTTCACCAAATAGCCAATGATCAAAGTTAAAAATATGAAAGATTATGTTTGTAACAGGGCGGCTCAAGTGGAGTGGAGGCCTAAAGTGATTTTTGCATTTAAAACAAACAATATATTACTAGTTTTATTCAAATTTTATTTTCTTTAGTTTTTTGGAATGCAAAATTATATGGCACACCATCCTGACAATCTCACCCCATTGCCGCCGCCACTATCACTCTACCACTTTAGCACCAGCACCACCATCCTACTACCACCATCATTGTCACCACCACTCCACCTCCACTATTTCCCCCACAATGACTACCTCACAACCCCCACTCGTGGCTGGAGCCAAGATTTTGACTTAAAAGGAATAATAATAAAGTAAAATGTTATGTCTATAATAGTGTCCCCAACTCCATCGTGTGTTTCGATCCTAACAAACTTAATCCCATTTCTAATCACGGCATTGATTTAGATTGTAATTATCCTCTCCAAACAAAAGTAAATATTTTATTGAAAGATTTTATTAAAAAAATAAGTAATCACCCTACATATTTGTATATATATTCATTATAGAAGGGGAAAAAATATCAATAAGAACAAATTAACAAGTATCATAAAAAATAATATAAAATAAATATTTAAAGTTAGACTTTATAACATCATAAAGGTAATTTCTGTCAATTATCTTTCTTTTCAATCCCATACTTTTCTCAGAAGCCAAACAGAAATTTTTTAATTTTGATAATTATATACTGAAATCATTCTCTGTTTGAAAATTAAGAATATTCTCAGTTTGGGGATTAAAGGACAAAACGTCTTTTTACCTATAAATGGGACTTATTGGATCAAAAATTTTTTGATAGGACCTAAGCTACCACCAAATATGTAAACAGGACTTTTTGGTAATTAACTCTTTTATTTTTTATTTTTTATTTTTACATATGTATATAAATAAAATTTTAAACAAAAATAATATTTAGAATAAAATATCAAGGGTATTTTTAAATTTATGAAAACAATAATGATTGTTTTATTGAAAATGAAGTGACTGCAACAAATTATATTTTTATGTATGAAAATTTTGTGAAAATATCTCAATATAGAGGTAATAACCATCATTATTAATATGCAAATATAATTAAATCTCACTATATATATATATGTAAAAATTACTAGAGTATGAGTTATATTTGCATGTAGAGTTCACCCTTCATATGTTGTTTTACTATTGGTTGGTAATATCATATGTCAATAATGACGTGATATCACTATTATATGAAATTTTTACTCAAATTTTGTAAAAATTTGATTTATCTTACTATTATATAATTTATATTAAGACTTAAATATATGATTTTAATACATTGTCCGTAATACACTAGTTACACGCAATATTTTCTTTTCGATTTTACTCGAAATTAATTATAAAATTTTATGTGAAATACTTTTGTAATAATTTATTTAAGTTTTAGTACTTAATATTAATTCAAAAATTATTATTATCTTCTTATTGTTGGTTATGAAAATAAAAAATTAAAATTGTAATCAATAAATACCCCTTCTAATTTAATTTTTTTGATTCCGCCACTACTTATACTAAAATATAAATTTTAGAAGGTGGAAGAGTATGCTCCCTTGTCCCTACCACCATCTCTACTATCCTCATCATTACCTTTGACACTGTCCCTATTACAATTAATATATTAATTTAACCTCGCAATCAAATATAAAATATAAAAAATAAATAAAATAAAAGTTACTAAAAAATATTTGTTGCTGAAACAAACAAAAGCGTGATAGAGTTGAAAGAGAGAGAGGAAAAAGTTTACATACTATGAAATTTGAATGGGACCTCGACCATAATATTTTTTACCAGGAGCACACGGCCATTGTTGACTTGCAACACAATAGTCCCCAGGGTTCCCTTGTTCCTTAACAAAGCAATATCCCCATGCATATGGGCCATCCGGTGCAGTTGGCCACCCACCTATACATGTTTTAATCATATACAAATCTATCAATTGTGTTTCTTTTCATTATATGTTCCTCTCTTTTTTCATGTCATAAATTTAATTCACCTATTTCACTTAAAAGGATTGAAAAACATGATGAATTGTGAAAGGTTTTACCTGTAGTTTCATGTGAAGTTTGGCCTAGAAAGGCCGCAATCTCTCTTTTGCGAGTCACAGTATCTCCAGTGGTTCCAAAACCTCCAAAAGCCTTGGCAGCAGCTATGAAAGCATCATAAGTGTAAAACCCTTTACCGGGGCAATTGGCATCGTTACGGTGCTTCAACATCTGATGAAAGAGGGTCCTGCTAATGATAGAGCTAATATCACCTCCACTCGGGGTCGGTGTTGGTGTAGATGGAGTGGACGGGGATCCTCCACCGCCAGGGCTACATTGGCTCTGGCAGCCAGTAGAGCAATACGGCGAGGTGTTGCCACAGTAGCCATATTGGCTACAACACAACCCTCCGACACATAGTTTTCCTCCAGCTTGGCTATCGCATTGTTGAGCCAAGGCGACGAGGGAGAAGGAGAGGATTGAGAACAAAACTAGTATCCAAAACCTCATTTTTCTCTAAGTTTTTTGTGAGGTTGGAGATAATAGAAGTGGGTACATATAGTCCATGAAGTGGGGATGGAGGAAGGTTTGTTCCTTTGATTTTTGAATACTATTCAAACATGGGATGTCATCATCAGTTTAAAAAAGTCTTCCCACCTACATACTTATAGGCACACAATTTAATTTCTTTTAAATAAAAAAATTACAGTAATTAAATGTAAAATTGTGTGACTATAGGAGATCCCAACTCTCAACAATACTGGATGGCTTTATTTCTAATTTGAAAAAAAAGAAAAAAAAAGAGAGCAAAACATCACATCATGTGAGACCCATACCAACATTAGTGCTTCTCTTTTAGCGGTCTCAACCATTTTTCTTTTTAATATAACTGATGGCCTATTTTAAAAAGTTGGTTGAAATTTTTTTTTTGATTTTTTTTTAAAAAATATATAAAAAAATAAAGAGATAATATGATTTAAAAAGTTGAAAAATTAACTTTTTAACTTTTAATTTAATTGTCAAAATAAGCTGATATATTTATATGTTTCTTTGTTCCAAAATATTAATCTCTTTTGGAGAATTTAATTTTTTTTAATAGCATAATTGTTATAGTTAAAAAATATTTACTTTTCAAAACTATCCTTTGCTAATATAATTGTCATAATTATACATTTTGTATATATTAATTTTAATGAATTTAAAAAAAATAAAATAAACAATTTATATTTTTTTAATTTTTAATTTAGAATTAAAAAAATTAATATTTTAAAACAATAAAAAATAAAATAAGAGATCTGTGACAAGATTTTTTGTGATCTGACCTAAAAAGATTCTGTGTGTGTATCCCAATAAGCACAATGACTTCTAGAAGGGGGTTGGCTTCGTTTCAATTTATGACCGGATTAAAATTATTGTTCGGTCCGTAGGTAAGGATGGAATTAAAGGAAAATTATGCGGGTTATAGACCTTCTATTTTTGTAAAAAATATTATTTGTCATAATACTTTAAATATATATATATATATTATTTTATATTTATCCTTTATAAAATTTTAAGTTTTTTTTTTTTTTTTTTTTTTTTACTTTTTTAATGCATTAGTGCTATTAGTGGTGATATTTTTAGTGGGATGAATCATTGTTGATAATTTATATATCATATTTTAGGTACATGTGTGTTTGTGTACATGGTATTTTTTTTTTGTTTGGCCCCTCTGGTAATGAAATCTTAGTTTCGTTCTTGTTTGTAGGGGCTCACTACAAGTCCTATTTTGATAATCTGAACTGTTCAATGTGTAGAACTCGTCGAGTATTATATGTTTATAAAAAATCACGTTGATTGGATATCGATAACTACGTGATCAAATCAGTTTTGTATAAAAAAATGGACAGTGAATTTTTTTTGATAAAAATCTGATTCGACGAGATAGTTATCGATATCCAATGGACGTAATATTTTATAAGTATATAGTACTCGATGAGTTTTGCATATTAAACGGCTTAGATTATCAAAACAAAATCTTTATTAAATTCCTACAAATCTAATAATACCCTCCAATTCGATCAATGATAGGAGGAAAGCCCAGCCCTTTCTAGAATACCTTTGTCGTGATGTTGATCCAACAATCTAACTAGGTTAGTTTAATTAGGGAAAATATCTCGTAACTCAAATTTTGTGGCTCAAAAGTGGCTCAAATGGCCAAAACGACGTCGTTTTGGCCATTTTTATGTTGTTCTGTACTCAAAACGACGTCGTTTTGGCCATTTGAGCCACTTTTGAGCCACAAAATTTAAGTTTCGTAGCATTGTCGGTTTAATTAGTCAAATCCTGAATCATTTCACTCAATTAGAAAGGTAAATATTCATGTTTTGCGACGGGCAAGATTCCCCGCAACAAATTATGACCTCCAACGCAAAATTTGATATTTTTTATATTACTATATATATATTTATTGGTCATCTTACTTTTTAATTTTTTTTAAAAAAATTAAAAAAATATATGTATTTAGATCATTTTAAACATTTTTAGGTAAATTATAAATACACCTCTTGAAATTTGATTAAAATATGAATCACCCTTGTTATTTTGGAAATTACATGTTTCTAATTTAGTAATAAATTGTCCATTTTATTAATAAATTATAAAATCAATTAACAATTTTTAATGATATTAAAAATAGACTTTAATTAATAATTTTTGTTATTTTATTATCGTATTAGAGAGCAATTATGAATTTTATTTTTTTAATTAATTTTGTTAAATAAAAAATTTTAATTAAAACAAGACCCATGACGAGCCAACAAATCTAAATAATTTCCTTTGGTCCAAATCATGACCGGACAGAATCCCATTTTTGTCATAAAAAAAAAATAAAAATAAATTGTATTTAATCTGATATTTTTTGTCGGCAAAAAATTAATAACTTGATGTGATCTGATATTAATAGTAAGAATAATATTATATGTATTAATTAATGTATTAATTTATATATTAATTGATGATATAGTATAATTTAAATTTTTTTTAATATTTATAATTTATATAATAAATAAAATTAATAATAATATTATAACTAATATTGATACATTAATTAATATATATAACACCGCTATATTATTAATGTTATTAGTGGGGGAGTAGTGGGGATAATTGCGGGACCACATGTACATTAGTCAAGCTCGAATTAATGTTACAGCGCATGAACTTACACGATAAGTGGTTGTTTGGAGTTTGCTTTTATTTTTATTTTTTAAAATTTTTAAATTTTTTTATAAAATATATAATAAAAAGTAAAGTGAATAATGTGATAATTTATATAATTTTTTTACTTTTTGACTTTTTTAATTTGTTCCCAAACCATTCTTAAATGAGATTTTTTTTTTTTTTAGCAAAAAATATGTACCGAATTTGTAAAATTATACAATAGTCTCGTTTATGTAATTAACATTTTTTAAGTGATTATGCTGCCACATCAATCCCAGATTCAATAAAAGAAAATGTTATATAATTTTTTTTTTCAATCAATAAAACGCAATTACAAATATAACATAAAAAGTAAGGAAAATTGGCCTAAGGTCCCTCCTCTACTTTTGATAGGAAGAAAAGTTCAAAATAATATGTTTTGATGGCTATGATCCCTCAAATTTATTTTATGTTATAAAGTACCTAAATTACCCTTTTTTTATAACATAAATTTGTTTGAATATTATATTGTTGACTTTACGGTGAGATTTTGAAAATCGAATTCGTAGTGGAGATTTTGTCGGAGATTGCAGTGGAGTTGACGAGAAATTTGTTTGAATATTACATTGTTGACTTCACGGTGGAGATTTCGTCGGAGATTTCAGTGGAGTTGACGAGAAAGATTGCTACGATCGTGTAGATTTCGTCGGAGATTTCAGTGGTGTTACAGTGTGTTGATCGCGTAGATTTTCAGAGTTGAATCAGATTTGTTTTCGATGGAGATTCCACATGCATTTTGATTTTTGTTTTTAATTTTTGTCTACAGAGAGGCCAGCTTGATAGAATTGATTTTTATTTTTGAAATTAATTTTTGTTTCTCTGTTTTTTGATCAATTTCAAAGAGTGTTGACAGTGTGTTGATCGCGTAGGTTTTTGAGTGGAGTTGAATCAGGTTTGTTTTCGATTTAGATTTCACATGGATTTTGATTTTTGTTTTGAATTTTTGTTTAGAGAGAGGCCAGTTTGATAGAGTTGATTTTTATTTTTGGAATTAATTTTTCATTCTTTATTTTTTGATCAATTTCAAAGAGTGTTGACAGTGTAGTTAATTTTGATGTTTAGAGTTCATTTTTCATGCTCTGTTTTTTATCAACATGCTGATCAATGATAACTTTTGTTCTATATTTTTTCAAACCAGAGAAATTTCATTTTCTACTGGTATAGTCGAGAGAAAATTGTAAGTTTGCTATTATAATCCAACGAAAATCACAGAGAAAATTATAAATGCATGTGGACATATTATTAGAAGTTTCTAATGCAGATAGAATTTGAGAAAGTGCATGTAAGTTCATAAATTTCTCTGGACTTTTATTTGTAGTTCAGAGAAAATTATAAGTTTGTTACTCACTTTCAGTTTGTAGTTCAGAGAAAATTATATGTTTGTAGAAGATGAATATAAGTTTTTGTTTCTCTAAGCGAAAGTTATTTTTTGTGTTTTTTCTTTCAGTTTAGATGGACAATGCAGTGTTTTTTGTTATCTTGAAGGTGTATATTAGTTTGTAAATTTCTCTGGATTTTTCTATGAGTGCAATATTGCAGAATGAAGCATAGAAAATTGTTAGCTTGTAGTGAGGTGAAAATCACAGAGAAGCCTATAATTTCATAACAAATATTCTGTGTGATTTTTTTCTATGATTGTGTTTAATAGTTAGCAGTAAATTTCTTTATGATTCTCTCTAGATTCATTATGTTTCTGTGATTTTGTTTTTTGTCATATTGAAGGTGAATATAAGTTTGTAGATGTCTTTGGACTTTTATTTTAAATCCAGAGAAAATTATAATTTTTAGAAATTTCTCTGGACTTTTATGTTGTTCTTGTGAAGTGTTTTTATGTTAAACAAATTATTTTTCTTGTTTTTTCTTTCAGTTTCAATGGACAGTGCAGTGTTATTGCTATGCAAATATGGGAATAATACTATTGTCATTAATGTTTCATGTGAATTGAATTTTGAGGAATTGGTTGGCATTTTGTGTAAAACATGGGAGAATTTGAAACCTGAGACTATGTGTATTTCATATTCTATTGTGGGCCATCCGAATTGTATGCTTTGAAATAATATTGATTTTTTGAATATGTTGAGGGTTGTTTGTGCATTCGGTGTTGATATAGTTGATGTTTCAGTTACTAGATGCAATACTTCTGATGAAGAGGATGAAGTGGGATCTAATTGGGTAGATGTTGTGGATGGTGAGTGTGATAGGCTGGTAGCTATTGAAAGGGATTCACTCTCTAAGTTTCGTTCTCACCAAGAAAATGTGTTATTGTCAGCTGGTTGGCGAAATAATATTACGAGTGTTGGAGAAAAG